CTGCCGTAGTAAATTTTTATTGTGTGTACTCGATTTAATGATTTTCAAGTAAACTGTTACTATCATACAAATTGCAATTTCTAATTATTAACATTTTTTATTTTATGGAAGATAATATTTTAAGGCAAGTGTTACATATGAATATGGATGGTTATAGGGGCAGAGGAAGGCCGAAACAGTATGATGGACTGTGTGAAGGTGATATGGTAAGAAAGAGAGTAAATAACGAGATGACTGCGAACTGAGATGCATGGAAGAGAAATACATATTACGCTGACCCTAATTAAATAGGATAACGAATAAGCAGATGATGATGATGATAATTTTTGTTTTATTTAAAGACTGTTTATTATTTTTTTAGAAGTATGAGTATATTCATATAATATGTTTTTTTGTAGAAGTACAAGTATCTAAGTACATACTTATATTGTTGTGAATTGTTATTAAAAAAATTCTCGGAAATATTCTGTGAGGTGAATTTAGGTGACAAAAAGGAGAGGCCAACTAAAATTTTAATGCCGTCCTACATAATGACACATATACAGAGTAAAAACATAATTTTTGTAGCTACTTTAATTTTCAATCAATACTTATAATTTTTGTACAAATAAAGTAAGACCTTAAACCATCCTCTTAAAAAACGAATAACACTTCTTTACTCCACGGATGCCGCATTTACGCGGATTATCCACATAAGTCTGAATTATCTCTGCCGATGCGTGCTTCACACGACTTTATACGACAATGAAATTTTAATGTAGAATTTTAAAGTATTTGTACGTGAAAGCGACGATGTGCTCAGTTTTCAGCCGCCGAATGGAATCGCTTCCCCTTAAGCCGAAAACACCCGAAAAAGGCGTGCGAAAGCGGATTGTTTCAATATCGAAGTACCGGTATCCATATGAATTATTTATATGTATCGCTGAGTCAGTAAGACTGGTTTGCTTATACCAAGTACCTTTGGTTTGCCGTGACTCGACTATCTTAAGTACCCCGTTTTTATCTATGGTATTGAATACTCGTTAGATTTTTGTTAAAATATTTTATCTCTATTGTCCCGATCCACTCTATGGAAAGATATATAAATGTAGAAATAAATATTAAGGCATTAAACTGTTTGCAGACCTGCATATCTTTACGAAGTCCAAAGCATATCCCTTCTTAAAAGGCCGGCTCAATAAAGTACAATCAGGTATGCAGTAGGTTTCCTTACCTCTTTGCTATCTCATGATACGATTAAAGTACATTATCTATTCGCATATTAGAAGCAAGAAACGCAAAGTCGCTATATTGTGTAAATTAGCACCACAATATGTGTAGACTAATATTATAGAGATATCGGACTTACTTCCTACATATATAGTTTAATATTTAATAATAATAAAATATTAATGTTATTTTTATTTATTGCTAGTGGCCCACCTTGGCTTCGCTCGTGTTCTCATAACTAAGTATGGTATTAACATAATAATTAACACAGAAAGTATAATATATGCAGTTCGATCATTTCTATATCTATATATATAATTTGGTGCTTAAGTAACATGTTGTCTGGTATTAAGTAGCAGTAACAGATTATAAAGAAAGTAGAATCAAAACAATCGCTTCGTATTCCAGTCGGTGTGAAATATCGAAGCATGTACCATGGGTTTACACTCAATAAAGCTGGTAATCCAACGACTTGGGATCGAATGGATTGCTTTACCAAATATTCTCGATTTGCTTCTAATGCGAGAGGTTTTATTTTCTTGTTCACAATGGAAAGTGGATTATTACTATGAAATACGTGAAAGTCGTATCTACCGCTTCCGAAGTTACTTTGTAACAATAAAGTATATTGTTATATATGAATTATTTTTATAGTGTATTTATTGAAAAAGTGAATAAAACTATAATAGATAAATAATTCCAATCAATATAAGTCATAATTATCATGAGATCTTTTTCAGAAATAACTGATTTAACTGACAGATCTATAATATTTTTTGGATTCACTTCAATGTTGATTTTAATACAGTCCAGTTTTGTGATATACTTTTGAAACCTAATTAAGAAAAAAACTGCATAACTCGATAACAATGTCAGTTAGTTCTGTTACTGATAACATAGGTGTTATATATTTCAATATCTAGAAATATAGCGCAACCCAATATTTCTAGATATTGAAATATTAATAATAATTTATGGCCTCGGTGATCTAGAGGTTTAACACACCGCTTTACTTTGATCGTCGCGGGTAGATTTCTCGCACTGTATAAATATTCGTATTCGTAAGTATGATTGTTTGTATTAGTCTGGGTGTTTTCTATGTATGTATATTATGTATATATTTACAAAAACAATATCTAAGTATTTATATTAGCACCTAAAACACAAGGTTTTCTTACCTTGCGACTAGATGGCGCTGTGTGAATTATCCAGGGGTATTATTTACCTTTAGTATTGTAAATACAAATTTCAACAATTAAATAAAACTAAAGTCAAGTTTTGGTAAACGTTATCCGTAACGAATTAACAGGAAAATAACATCAGATAACATGAAAAGAAAGATATTACGTATCTTATCTGGGTACATAAAACCAAATAACATGGCGATCACCAAAACTGACTGCGTCCAGACACGGAAGAACCTCATTAGCTGCGTGTCCGCGTCTCCATCGATTATTGTACCACTAGTTTAAGTATATTTATATATAAATATATTTATTGCCAGTTAATATTACAGGCATTTAAGCAGATTAAAAATGTAAACTATAACAAACAAGTTATAAAGAATAACCGTAAAGGATATCTATGTCGAAATTCAAGTGGAATACTTATGAACTGAATCACTTTCTATAAGAAACCAAATGAAAGACAAGAAATAATTTTTTAATAAATTAATTACGCGACTGTGCAATTTATATAAAGGTATCAAAAATAAATTCACATCTTCTTTTATGTATGTTGTAAACATAAGTATGATTAAGACCTTCACTAACTTAAAACTCTGATATATCCTTTACTGAGTATTTAATTAATAAATTCCCGTAATTATTATAAACAGTTATATTTTCGGATTCAGCTTGAGGACTGTTTCAATTAAACAGTTCTCAAGCTGGATCCGAAAATGGAAATATTAAAGGAGGTCTGTCAACAATAACGAGGCATATATTTAAGAAAAAATTGTGAAACTTATTTACATTTTTTTAATTAAATTTATTAAATAAGTATTGAAATAATGAGCTAAATACAGTATGTTTAAATAGCAAAGAGGAATTACAATTATTTTCATATATTATTTGTTGTTAATAAACAGATTTGAAAAGTAAAATAACATCAGATAATCCCAGACAGATTAGTTAATCTCGAAGCTCTCGTCGGATACTCCCATGATGGCGAACGTAAAACTATGTAATACTCTCTTATCTGTGATAAAACTCAGCTTAGTTATTTTGCCAAGCATTGTAAAATTATATGCTCTACAGTATTCGAGTAGCAACTATAACTTTAGAAGTATGTGATAGGATTCGTTCCAGTATGTTCTAATCCATTGCCATAAATTTTTCAACAGAAGGTTGATTATCATCCCTAATATATATATATATCTATATAAATGGTGAAAACTGTAAATAACAATCTGTGTACCTTATGTAATACCAATGCTTATTGATATGAAAATTAAAAGTATTAAAATAATAATAGACGTGATTTCAGATTCTATTGAAATTTTGGATTTCCTCTTTTACAAGTTTCTTCTTTTATTTCAAAAGAAAAGAATAAATCCAAGTATACAGAAAAAGATTCGTGGCGAAACTAAATAAAATCCGGTAGCATTGACTTTCACAAACACAAATCAAGTATAATACATAAATATCTTTCAGTAGCTATTGTTATCCAGCGATTAAGATAGCAGCTACCTATATCCAATACAAAAGAAATATTATACTTACAATTTTCTCATTTCTTGAACATGTTCTATTCTGTGTAATATAAAAGAGAACTTTCTAGGTAGCAACCGAAGATTGTAAGACCTGAACAATAAAGTAATCCGCGCTCTTTAATCAAAGCTGGAATTGTTAAAATAAAACGGAAAATCTTTTATTTGTGCTGTATATTATTTCTGTTAACATTATATTTTCTTACTGCTGTTCAGAGATTTTTAATAATCATACCGTAGCTCGGATTTAGATGTATGTTTATATAAATACAGAAGAAAATACTTCATTTTTTATTGTATCAATGATGATCAATATTAAAGAAGAAATTCTGCGAAATGAACTGTATATCTTACCTTACATAAAGAAATCCAAGAAATTAGATAGATAAATCTTAAGGATGCTTATTTATTGTTATCGTAAATTTCATATTAAAGTATAATGCTGTGACTTTATATTTTATAGTACTCCCTATAAAATATAAAGTCACAGCATTATACATATTAAATTGTAAAGGCTAAATGTCCCTTAGTCTCTCAATATCCTTAGTCTTTCAATATCGATATTAATTGAAATATGATATGATTTGTTATGTACATTGACTTTTAATTTATTGTTGTTTAGTATTAATTCGGCGTAGATCATTAAGTTTTGATCGTAGTCTATCATATATAGTACGGTATACCAAAGAATGTTAAAAAAATGTAGTTAATTTAATAAGAATAGACGAAATTAACAAGCGATGGAACTGTTTAATTCATCCATAATATCGACTGTTCTAATATAAATAGAAATAATTACTTTTTGTAAATAATTACTTTTTTTAGTATAAATCACATGATAAGTATTATTTAGGAGTCATTGACGCTCTGAGATTATTATATTATAATGTTATATTGTCTGCATAACGTAGAATAAAGTTGAATAAAACGCCAATATCTAGAACGTATTTATGTCTATTTCCCTTTTAAATACCTACACATACGCACCAGCAGGTGAAATTATGTTTCTTTTTTATTATCCCATTATCCAATATTTACATGTCGACTTGAGACAAGATGTTTATAAGTATTTCTTTTACAGGTAAATCCCGACGAAAATCGATTACCTCTCGTGTCGCACTCGTCTCCATGTAAGTAGATTTTTTCATTATTTTTTTTTTCTACGATACATCAATCTCACTTGACACGTTTTCGTAAGTCGCGTTCGCTCTCAGCCTGGATGGGTTCATTTTAGTGGAGTAATGTTACGTGATAAATAAGTGAGCCTCCAAGCAAAAAGGTTCTGAATGTCGGCTTTTGTGACTTACGACTTTTTACTTTAATGTAGTGGAGTAGGGTTGGTTTATATTTAACTTTTACATTAGCCTTCACTCTATACCGAACAATTGGATTAAGTGGTTATTTTAAAAGTAAATTTCTTGCGATCGTGACATTTTTTAAGACAGGTCCATTCTTAGAATCTCATAGAAATTACTTCTTTTTTTATCTAGCCATTATGGACATTGTGACAATAATAAAGTTATAAGTACTGCATTATCAGTACCTAGTAATATGTAACAATGTTTTAATATTTGTTATTCCGACATGGCATAATAAACAATTAAATTTTGTAAACAAATAAGTCTCATCTTGAGTAGTACTTTATAATTGTAGTATATCATTGCCCTAATTCACTCAAACTAGTTAAGTAGGTATCGAATTACCGTTATGTAAGATTAAACTGTTGTACTAATGAAAATATACTTATAAATAATGATTACTAAATAAAACTGGGATTCACTTTTACATTTTCTTGGCGACATTTAAAATTCAGAGTTCAATTTTGGTATAATAATTATAAGCATTGTTATTGAAATATGAATAATAATAAACAAATTGTGCCATTTCCGTTAAGAAAAACGGTATAACGACATCTATTGTTTCCGTAATTGAAATAATTTGTACATGAATAAATTCAAGTGTTCTAATAAATATTCAATTTTCAGTCTTAAACGGTGACAAGGGGGAGAACGGAGACGCTGTAAGTATTTTGTTAATTGGCCGTAACTTAATTGAATGTACAAATAACTGAATACTTAGTGGAAAAAAAAAATAGAACAAAGAAAGAAATTAATTTCTTAACGTCAATACTAAGGTCCTTGAAAAACACGTAAGATGTGTTGAATTAGATATCTACTAGTGTAAGCTGTTTTAATCTAAAAGACAGTAGCTCCGGAACCACTACACCGATTTGATAAATTCCTCCAAAGTTTTAATGGTATATTATAACAGATAAATATAGACAATATATTTATAGTAATTTAGTTAACCACTTAGATCCTAAACACATCTTGCGTTTGAAGATACATCCCTGCATAAATGATGTAAATATTTATATTTACCTATATATTTTTTTTAATTAATGCAGTTCATAAATTTATTTATTAGCGTAGAATGTAAAAGGTCGTGATATTTCTGTATACGACGCTCTGGGAAAAATATCCCCTAAACTTTGTCTTTACATAGAATTTGTCATAAATGGTATAAGAATTATACTTCTGAAATATGAAAACAGAAAAAACAATTCAGAAGTTAAATTCGAGTACACGTGTACATTTAAGTGCTACTTATATGAACGACAAGAACAAGAAAACAACTACTTAAGAATAACAAAATAAATATTAAAATTGACGTACTTTTTATACTTTTCCCTTTTATTATTTATACAGGAACGCCTTAATGATTCTATGCCTATTGTTTATCAATTTTAAATGAAAATGTAGCGTAGAACCACTTTACAGGTACAGGTAAAATATGTCTAAGTCTACAACAATAACTAACTGTAGATAATATCAATAAATTAACAGCACAGAAACTGACGAGAATTATTTTAACTGCCCCTTGCTTCACATAATGAACTTTGTGTACAACTGATATTGTCTTTATTTTATTACTTTAATGCAGATCCGGCCCAGTTGTGCACGGGTATTTCAATTAATTTACATCTCAAACATTAATGAATTATACGCCTAAACCTTCCATAGAAATCATTCTACTGACGAATTAAAATCGTATGAAAATCCGTTCAGTAAGTGGCCTAAAATTGCCAAGATATAGACGGACTTTGCGTTGGACTTTGTGTTATTGATATGTACTATATAAATTGGACTATTGTTAGATACTAATGAGGATTTCGAAATCACATTTAGAGAATTTTCTAAAAATTACCCGAGCCATATGCAATTTTCGGGATACTGCATTTTTGCAAAAAATATATTGTGTTATACAAGTATTTGCATATATAAAACACAATATACAACTTTCACACGAAGTTTGAAATATGGTTATTTTATACGTGTATGCAACGACAGCATGTTTCGCGACATATATTTTGGTGGCAACGCGATATGACTTAATAGAAGGATTTTATACGTTGTATACTTGCGTATAAAAATATTTTCGTACACACTGATTTAACTCAAAATTTAGTTTAAAATTTTTATTCGCGGAGTACATAGTAAATTCGTTAAAATATCTGCATGCAATTCTGTTTAACCCGCCTGTCCTAATGATTACTTTATCACGGCTTAGACTTCTTCACTTGTGTAGTGACAGTGTGAAGATAAAATCAGGTTATTAACCTATCTTGGCAAACAACAATGGTTTTTAGGTGGAATTTAGTGGAGCTCTGACCTACCTATATTACTAACAAATAGTAACATAACTAACAACCCTCCTTGCCCTCAGCGTATACTGGATATCCATATACCTATAATTATATCCATCAATACTATGTCTTCTACGATATTATTTGATATTTACTGAATACACGATATGCTATTAACGGAATCAACGTATGATAGCCGAGTTTTCCTAATTTACTTTCCATATTTTGTAGCCTTTATGTGATTTATTAGTTAACGTCAATAATTTTCTACAGATTACATGAAATGTCGTTCACATATAGGGAGCATGTATACTTAAAAAAAAAAACAATTATGACTTTTTCAGTATGAATACAAAATGAGGTTTTTTTTCGGGAACGGAAGTATTCCGTATTAACTTCCGCTTCGAACAACAAACCTTGTGGAAGACCGCAGACTGAATTTGATGTGAATGCGAGTTAATTTAAAATTAGGCCAAAGTTAGATGTACAATCATTTAAATTATTTATTTATTAAGGGACTGCAAACACACAATAAAATACATAACACACGTTCATGTTCTTTGTTGATTTAAGACTACGAGTATACAGTACGAGTAGTTTATATAAGCAAAGTTAAAATAAATTTTCGGATTAACAGAATTTGTTTAATTTTATTCGTCATAAATGTACAATATGTATTATATAATATCTGTTGGTGTTAAAAGAAACATATGTATTTCTATTTAGGTATAAATATCGAATCGGAAAACTCATAAAAAAGTACTATTAACATTTTTTTTCTACAGGTACCTATCGGCCAGTGCAAATGCAGCATTAATGACATCTCACAATTAATAGAAACGATGCCAGATTTAAAAGGTCCACCTGGACCTCAAGGACCAACTGGAGCTGACGGGACAACAGGTGCTCCAGGGAAAACGGTAAATAACAATAATTATTTTGTTGTTCTCTAATAATTTTGGACAATTCACATAGCGCCATTTAGTTCCGAGCTAAGCAGATTGTGTTATGGGTAGACCTAGATTGGTAGAAATACTATATATAAATACATGTAAAATACCCTGATCAATGCTCTACACTACTCATGAATACAAAATGTTTGCATAGTTCGAGGAATCGAATTCTCGGATTTCAGAAGTAAAGTGGTGTACTAAACCACTAAACGACCGATGCCGTTAAATAATAATAACATATAGTATTGTACATAAATTATTAGCAATATGTTGTAGATAGGTATTGTGTAGGCATCATCAACATACCATAATATTGTTCACTTAAATGACTTTTACATATATCATCAACACTTTTATTATAAGTTTAATACCAGACTTTTTACAGAGTTATCTGCTTGTTTTGCATGGTGTGTAATACTTGAAGAGTGAGATAATGGCATTGCACGACTGGAACCACGTGTGTCACATTATAATATGATATCCGTAGTCCTGTTGAAGTATATAGCGACAGAACTGAGTATTCTGTTTAGAGGATAATATTGATTGTTAATCTTTTCGTGGTTTGACAAGATACTGTTTAAACTTCTACACAGATGTCTATTTTATTTTCTTAGAATCTGCGTCTGTATTTCATTCTGATATTTAAAATTTCTAAATTAAAAGTATATCATGTCACTATATGAATCATATAGAATTATATTTAATAATATATATTTATATATAAATTCACCTTAGTTGTGTACCTACTCGTACTACCTTTGTGTATTCAGAGTTTATGTCAGCATTTATTCGTACTGACATTGAGTCAGACAGCCCTTAGGGAAATCTAACGTGTCCTACCAAAACAACAATTTTTACAAGAAATACAAATTATGTGGGCCAGATAGTGAATACTAGTTTATGAAGTATGTAGATCACAAGAATATTTTGATATCCCTACGTAGTTATTTGTTGACAGTCTGCAATAACTCATTAGTACATATAATATTTCACAGTCAATTTAATTGGCCAATTGTATATTACTACTACAATCTATCCTGCAATATAGTAATATCAATATTATAGAGTAATGTATTGAATTGGGATATTACCTATAAATTATATTTCAATTGCAATCAAATACGATATATAATGAAATATGTAACTATAAAGGTATATTTTTGATTATTATTGTTGTCACAATATTTCATCATCGCAGCCCGGAAGACGTCCACTGCTGGACATAAGTCTCCCCCAAATATCTCCACAACGATCGGTCCTGCGCTGCTCGCATCCAATGCCTTCCAGCGATCTTGACCAGATCGTCGGTCCACCTTGCTGGAGGCCTTCCCACGCTGCGTCTTCCGGTCCGTGGTCGCCACTCGAGGACTTTACTGTCCCAACGGCCATCTGTCCTACGAGCTATGTGCCCTGCCCATTGCCACTTCAAAGTCGCAATTCTTCGGGCTATGTCGATCACTCTGGTTCTTTCACAATATTTATTAGACACGAAATCGTTCGGTATATAAACAATATAATAAAATTCTTAATATAAAATACAATGTAAATCTGAACTATAAAATTATATGGCCAGTACGTCAGCAACAATTATTACAAAAGGAAAATATTTTATATTTACTTGTAGTTTGTAATGAATAAACTTAAAACGATTTCTTAGATATTTTAGCTATTAGAACCTAAAATAGTAGTCATATAAAATAAAAATATATATTGAACTGTTATTAATTTTATTTAGGGACAAATGGGAGACCCCGGCCCTCCTGGTCCACTCGGGCCCAAAGGAGATAGAGGCGAGAGAGGTGACACTGGTGCATCAGGGCCCGAGGGCCAACCTGGACCTAAAGGAGAACCTGGACTTGATGGTATTCAGGGATTACAAGGGCCACCTGGTCCACCAGGCCCGCCTGGACCAATGTCTTCAGCACTCATGGTATGTGATTAATTGAAACGTTTCTGTATATTGTATTCAAAATATTTTTAAAACTTTGGCAACCACTTCGGCAGCATACATTTACTCGTAATTTAAATATATTGTATTAATAATACAATTATAGTATAGTAAACAAATTCTCTCTAACAGTTATTTTTTCAATTACAATAGCCTGTAGTATATACAGCCTATTGTAATTTTAAATATACCTGATGGAATGGTTTAATACCAACTAATATGTAAATTAGGTTACCTATATGTTTTGTAGCTTGAAAACATATTTTTATATGTATATAGCCTTAGCGCATTATACAAAGACGATTATGTTTAATATTACTTCTATTATCACGTTAAATTATTACTATCAAGAGAATTTACATAGAACCAGATAGTCACAAAGTGAGCATAACTTGTACTGTGGGTACTAAACATCGGATAAAAATACTTAATTTTTTTAACCAGACATAATATAACTAGAAAATACCCTAATTAATATAAAACATCTTCTTCTTCTTTGTCCAACCCATGTTTCCAGTATATCTGGGGTCGGGTCTCCCTGTACATCTGCGCCAGAGAAATCTGTTTTGTGTTGTGTGTATATTAATTAATATAAAACATCATACCTGTGAATACAAATGTTTCTACTGCACGACAAATCGGACCCGCGTCCATTAGAATTATAACAGTATACTAAACTGTTAGAGCACCGTTGCTGTAACTGAATTATATTGAACAATTATAACGTTTATTATTACATGAGCTCCGCAAATTTATCATCATCATTTCTAACATAGGAATCAACAGGATTATACGGGTCTGGTAATCCTGGAATTGCCGGTCCTCAGGGCGAAAGAGGCCCTATGGGTTTACCCGGCCCTCAAGGAGAGAGGGGATACCCTGGAAATAAGGGAGAAAGGGGATTACATGGGCCAAAAGGAGACAAAGGCGATCGTGTAAGTTTAACCTAAATGTTATTATATTATTCCTGTAATTGTTTCGTTGTATTTGAATAACTATTCGTGTGATTATATACTTAGTTACATCAACTACGAGTATTATTTATGTTTATATATATATATATATAGGTATAAGTCTTATGACACTTTTACAAACTGCTTTTAGTTCACCAATATATTGTGTAATAATATTTTTGTTTCTTTTATTAGCATGAACAAAGTAAATTATTTTATTCCTCAGTATAATTCTTCAGTACGTTTGAAATATTGTAATTTATATATTTAAGTTATAGGATGTTTATATATTACATTTATAATATGTTTTGTTACTTATAACTTATTTGGGTAAGGTATATAATTAAATAGCCTTATTTTTATGTATGGGTATGGTTCTATAATCTACTAAGTTATTTTTAAATATGACAAGAGAATATTTTTTTGTATTTAGAGATACTAAAAAAAAACGGAACTCTGTTGTAAAATGAGGTTTTATTTTCCACGAAAATAATCGGTTCCCGGCTCCGCTTATCTGCGTGCAGCAAGCTAAAGCAAAAATATATATAGTATATACAATTAACCGATATGTAAATGTACCATAGACATTACACAAAATTCGTGAAGTATTTTGTAATTGTGGTTTGGTCCATATTTATATTATTATTATCGTTGTGAATTAATTACTAATAGATAAAAATGTTTTAAAAAATACATTTATGTTTCCATATTTGTAAACATAAAAGGTAATGTATAATTTACAAATAATAAAAATAAGTTTCCTTACGTATTTCTGTAACTATGTCACATTCGTGCAAAGAAAACAATTTTTATGTTAACTTCCGCACGAGTAGCTAATACTAAATTCAATGTCCGATATCTGTTGCCGTAGAAAAATATTTACAATACAAATAAAGCTATAAAAGAATTTAGCGAAACTAACAAAACAGAAAGGAAATCTGGTGAGCGGCAGTAATTCTAAAGGTATGCGGATAATAAACCTGGGCCTAATGCAATAAGCACCGGCCTGACCCTTATAACACGGCGTTATGTTACATTCGACCCGTAAGATTATAACTGTGTTACAGGGTTACGTGGGTCCAAGGGGTCCACATGGCGCTAAAGGGGAGCGGGGCCAACCCGGTCGCGACGGCACGCCCGGCCTGCCAGGCTCTCACGGACGTCCAGCAGAAAAGGGCGAAAAAGGTAACAAACTAACTGAACCATCAAATTTTATGTTTCACTATGACCCTTATTTATTCGCGGGAAACGCGTTTGCAAGATTTTAGAGCTTCATAGTAACGATTTGGAAAATCTTTATTTCTTCGCGCCAGACCCTTGTAGGGTCCTCGGAATGTTATAGTCGTATATTTCTTATTCAGTTTCAATTTTATGTTCAGTGATAACTATTTTTGCTTTATCAAGTATTTTGATTTTCCTCATTATTTGCTGAACAACATACCGTCATGACTTATTCCAGGTGGGGGAGACAGAGGCATAGTAAAATGTCGATGTTGTGCTGATATTGATCAGCACAACATCGACATTTTAAGGGCGAACTTACCGTCGTCTGTCAGATTATTTTTTGGTTTCATATCTATGTTTTCTTCACCGAAGAGTTATTATTTATTGAAGGTACTGTCAGGTGCTAAGACCTGTAAAACTGCGAACTGCATAGATTTATTATGCTCGTCTTTTTTTTACCGAAGAGATAGTCCGAAATGTAAATTTGGTGTGCTTTTATGTATCGGCAAGAATTAAACTTACTCTTCAGTGTAAGTTTGACTAAACGACTAGGAACAGTTTCAGTTTTTTGATGTTAACTTAAATTATTTTTATCATAAAGAAATATATACGGTATAGCTGCGTGACTTACTGATGCAGAGCCGGAAATATTACTAATGTAGAAACACGTAATTTGACTAGTAAGTTCCTTTTGTGGTATAACGGATAAGCAAAAAGAATATTTGTATTTTTATGTAGCTGGAATAATAAGCAAGCTGACGAGCTACTTGTATAAAAATAATAACTATCTAGTTGTTTACTGTCCCGACTTATACCCAGGAGATCGTAAGGTCAAAACTGATCGATAACAAAGAACAATTACTTTGTGTCTCAATTTATATTATGACTATTACTTATAAGATTGATTATGCGGTGAAGGAAAGACTGATAGTTATTCAAAAATTAATTCAAGAGGCGGCGGTAAGCTCACCGTACGCAAAATCAAACGCGTTGGGCAATTAAAAAAAAAAATACACCATGTGAAGAATGATTACGTCAAGCGTTGTTCATTGTTCATCACGACATCGACAGTAAACGATGTCTCTGACTACTCTATCTTGGATGAAAGTCGTGAATTGACACTATATTGTATCATTTACTAGCGTAGCGACCAGTCCCGTCTTCGTACGGTAGTATCACTCTATCTATTACAAAGAACTGCATTAAAATCTGTTGTGTAATTTAAAAGATATAAATAATATAAACAAAATTGACGAAGTAATGAATTAATTCATATAATAATAATAAATGTATGAGTAACATAATGTGAGGAAGTAATACAATGTGAGTTATTGGGCTTGTTTTTCGAGAACGATGCGCTGATAAATTGCCGTGGGCATTATGTTAAACAATTTCTTGGGGCCGTCTGCTACACACGCGGTAGAACATAGAACATGTGGGGAAAAGATAAGTTTCTCTTCTAATATATAGGTTTAACACTGGCTTTAGCAATTTGATCATTATTTAAACTGCATAAAGTACATTATTAATGAGGTGCGTCGTTCTATGAACACAGGAACTTAGGTAAGTTGTAAAATAGATAAGTGAATGTTTGATGGGGTAAATCCTGTAACTCATTTTTAAACTGAGTATGCTGAAACTAGGCATAAACTTCTGCATAGCATTACATTCATATCTATATTCTGAATCATATACGGCTCATAACGAGATAAGGAACTATTATTTTTATATAGTTCTATGTTTACCGGTATTAAATGAAATGCTTTGTCGAGAAAAATACTAAAAATAAAACGATATCACACAAAATATTTTTTTATTTATGCGTCATAGGTGCTCGAGGACTTCCAGGACCACCAGGACCTAATGTGCCAGTTATATCTGACAATTCTGTGATGAGTGACATAGCACGTACAGGTACCTACTTAATTTATATTATTATTAGTCCTTTCTTTGCAAAATTGGGACAGCAAAATATTTTACTTATACAGTAAGTAAAATATTTTATTTATTATCTATCGCATAACTGTATTACTGTATGCCTGTAAATCGCATAAAGAGACCATTATAATTAATCAATTAAAAAGAAGACAAATAACGTAAGTTTAATTTTAATAAGAATGTTATACTTTGTAGCTAAGTGGTAACATATTCGGTAGGTTTCACTTACGTACGAAGGACCCAAGTAGTAAGGTCATAAACATATAATATTACAATTCGTATCTATATATATTATTATAGATGTCAATGTTAAGGTTAAAAAGTATTAAATTTACTTATTGTTATCTACGATTCCTTTGTTAGAAAATTCTAGAAAGTTTTTAATCTAATAATCCCATACTAAACCTATGTAAATTTCGTAAAAAAAATTACTAATAGTAACATGAAGTTTAAAAAGGTCATATACAACATCACTATTAATGGGTATTTGTATAATTAAATTTATTCACGAAATATTAAATCGAACAGAAAAAAATGTACTTTATATGTACTCAAACATTACTAATTTAGGAAAATCCACTGTATTTTTTTTTTATTAAAGTCTTATTCCAAGTGTTTTAATTATTACGATATTATAGAAAGCGTGCGTTATATTAAAAACAGTTGAAATTTTATTATTCAATTTTGTACATACAACTCCCAGGGATTACGTTAATTCTATTACACGTTGTATTCGAGAAACTACACAAAGCAACATCTGGTTGTTGAACACTGAACACTAGAGCCGAACTAATTTAGGGAAGTTTATTTCCAGACTGAAACAGGCATTGGCCTGACTGACAATCGATAATAACTTGTATGTATTTTTGTATTAGTTAATCGTCTGGTTGCATATATATAAATAAAGATGGAATTTAAATAAAAGTACATTACAATTGTCGCAGAGAATGCAAGATATAGTAATTTCATTAAATTCCCGTGCATAGTTGTCCGTGGAAATATTAAAGTTATAATTATTCCGATGAAATATATATAACAATAATAATATAAGCAAATATTTGATTTGTTTTCAATTTTATTAACTTACTAGATTTTATAGAAACTTTAGAACAATATTATAATTATAAATATATATTATATTAAAAAAAAAATACAAAATTTTATTTAATGTATGACGGGATATTTAGTACTAGTATCTAGTATCTTAGTCATTTATAGTAATTATTTATATTTTATTAACTGCAATATTATAAAATATCAGGTATTTGAAAATTGTATGAAAATTGTATTACAATTTTCATTATTATTAAATATTTATTTAATTACATTTTGTTAATTTATGACTTACGAGCATTACTGTATTTTTAACGTCAGTATTACTCGTATGTATTACGTCATCTTATATAGCTGAGGACCTAGTAACAACTGTAGTTTCTACCCTGTATTTATTACTCAGAAGTCTATATGTTAATATAACAACCCCTTTAATGTATAAGTCGATACACTATGCAAATACACGATGAACAAACAAAGTCCAGTTAGAATAACCCCACTATTTACTTATGAAGGTATCTCGCCCATTCGTCGGTGAGGTCAAAAATAATTACTGTATATACTTACAAAGAACAACTTCCATTCTCCACTAATTGCGATACCATTACCCTCGTTATACTAACAAAAGGTCTACATAACTTACGCATATAACTTTACTTAACCCTAAACCGCCCTATAATAAATTTTCTGATATTTTATGATTTTTCTATAACGATACTTGAATATAAATATCCCTTATAATATTCCCAGGCCCTCGAGACGTATCGCCCACCACGAGGGGGGTGAAAGGAGAGAGGGGTGAAAGAGGTGAAAAGGTAATTACCTGCCAAGACTACTCGATGTAAATAAAAAGCCAAAGCTAAGACTTACATAATAAAATTTACTTTAACCAGTTCAATGTTTATTTTCACAAATATTATTAGCCAGTTTTGAATATTTTAGATAAAAATAAACAATTCGATGTAAACATAATTAATAGTATATATGATCAATATAAGAGTAGAGATTATATAAGAAAAAACAAAAAAATAACATGTACAGTGGACATGACAATTTTTATTTTGGTGAAATAAGTTTCAATTCGAGATAAGGGTCGACATTACCTACTATATACTACGTAAGGTACTACGTAAGTAGATTACCTTCAGGATGTTTTTTTGAGTTCCAATTCAACAAAATAAATAATAATTAATTTAAAATTTCATTAGACGTACTAATAACAAATCTATTATTTTAATGATTGTACAAAGGATCTGTAATCTTATCAAAGTTTCAGATTAAGAAATATATAAAAAGAACGCATACATTTTTGTAACAAAATACTAATAGTAACAAACTATAAATTAAAATATAATATTAAAACATTGTCCTAAACCTTGATAGGAAATATATAAAAATGTATGTACAATTTTTATTATCTATAATAAAATACCAATAGTTACAAACTATAAATTAAAATAATTATCCTATCAATTTATAATGGGTGTTTTACTAGGGTGAAAAAGGCTTAAGAGGAATGGAAGGCGCACAAGGATTTCCAGGGAATGATGGAAAGATGGGTGAGCGCGGCGATATCGGACCGTCAGGTCTGCCCGGCACTCAGGGCCCGCCCGGGTCTAATGGTCCGAAAGGGGAGAAGGGTGATGCGGGACCGCCGGGACCTGTTGCAATTTCTCGAGACGAAGCCTTAGTAATGACGAAGGTACCCAATAATTGTCATACTTAAAGATAATTTATGAATTTCTTAAAATATCGTAACAGAACAGATTTTCTATTACAATGTTTTATAATAAATTTTTAAACGTCATGTTATTTGTTATATAACACAAATATATTATTTCAATTATTAGACCATGTTCGTGAAAAGTTATATAGATAATATAATGTTAGAAACTAAAATAAAATATTATAGATAGAGGCGTCAGGAATATATAAATGTACTTTTGATTTTAGAAATAAAGGAATTATAAATGATCATCGTGTAAACCACATAATAAGCACATTAATATAATAATAATAATAAATAACAATGACATTTGAATACAAAGCAGATAATTTCATTTAACCTTCTTATACTAAGAAGATAAAATGTCATTATGAGAACTAAATTTAGACTAGGATATTGTATACGTATTAAATTAATATCATTGTTCATTTTGATATATTAGGGTGAAAAAGGCGAGTCTGGCCCACGTGGCAAGAGAGGTCACCCAGGACCACCCGGACCAAGAGGCCCACCAGGACTTCCTGGTCCCCCGGGAACACCTGGTACAAATGGTCCTTCGGGGGATATTGGATTACCTGGATGGACGGTGAGATTAACTACACTCTAATAAGGTTAAAGGTCGTAAAGTTTATACATTAATTTTTCCTCGATATTTACTACATATGATGACATCAACACATTAAAGTAAAAGCGCGCGCTTACGGTCATGTAAGTACATCCATGATCACATCAAAATTTTCCTTTAAAATGACTAAACCTATTCTTACATCATAGCATCATTATATCATAGCATTAGTTGCTGTGCCCGTTCTCTTTATAAATGCGCTAAGCAAACGGCATCCTCAGCATAGGCCGTCGGCCTGAAACTGAAATGTACCCTACATACACTATGACACTTTCAAGTTAATATATAATATCAATGTTTTTGTTATTTAATTTATTACTTTCTAGCTAGATCAATACGTTGCTGTGACAACTGTATCTAAAAATATGTTTTTTTCTATGTTCATACGTAAAATAATAATTTAAGGATATCAAAAATGTATGTTTGTCAAACTGAAATAAAACGGCTACCATGTAGCGTGTTGATTCACAGGGACCGCCCGGTATCGCCGGGCAGCCTGGCCCGCCCGGTCAAAAAGGTGAAAAAGGCGATCCTGGATTAAATCAGAACGACCTAGACAAGGTATTTATCATTCGTTACATTTATAAGTTGATAAACTATATTAATTTAAGTCATTAGTATTCGTTAGTATAAATTTAGAAATGTAACGTTAAATTTTTACAAATAAAACAGGTATAAAAGTCGAGTCTGTTACAAATATTTATTTTAGGATTAAAAAAACTATATGTAGCTGTTACTTGGATCCCGAACTTGCTCTCCAAAATATTAAAAAAGAGAAAAGTAATTTTTAAACTTTCGCGTTTAGTACATATATAATATCGTTAAACGAGTTTTAACACGAATATTTTTTAATAAGTTATCGACTTATCAAAAAATATTACCGATCGAGAGAGGTACTTATATATAATACCTTTATATATTTACTGCTAGTAAAATTATTCCGGTAAAAATCCGTTTAAATATATTAATAAAGTATAAAATATACAACATAAAGCATATAAATACTTTGGCATTGGCAAATATCGGCGTCATGGTGAACGCAACACTCGATGCCTACATTTCTTCTGAATGAATTGAAGGTGAATCTAACGTGGTAGGCGACGAGTCTGTTGCATTCTCTCGTATTGATTTCTTATTTTGTTATTTGTTATTGGTGTTTCCTTTATCTCTATATTTCTTTAATTTATAAAATTGATCGTTATACGTAATTTCTTATACCGTATTATTCACTTGTAGACGATTAAAGTTAAGTATCCAATTACTTAAGTTAATAATGCAGTACGTTTTATTTTAATATGTGCTATTATATAAAATACTGATTTATCTATTTATGACTGTAGTTACAAATTGTTTTTAAAGGGCACTCAGGTCGCAGAGACAAATATTTTATTTCACTTTATATATTGTGTGACCTTCTCTAATCCGAAACGGTCTCGGTAGAAAGGTTTTCGTTAGCGTTTTTTTACAGTCCATTACTTATTTTTGTCTGAAATATTATTATGTTGTTTTTATTTTAAAATTCTTAACGTATTTTGTATTATAAATCTGATTAACAATTTTATATATTAAGATAAGTTTATTTCACCTACAAGTGATAAATTGCCATAAAATACAACACCGAACATTAAAAATTAGTTTTTTTCTACTGGTAAATTATTTACATTGAACTACAATACAAACCAAATTTATTATAGTGTGACATTACTTCATTAAATATTTCTTCACAAGTATTTCATAATATCAAAGATCTTGTACCTCCAATTTGGTACCCTATTGATAAATCATGACGTTGTCCATTGTGCCTTAATTTATTCATGAAAGTATATTTATAAACAATTATAAAATACAAAAGAAGCCGTTATTAGAATACTTTTAAATTATAAACAAGAAAAATGCATACCGATAACCATCGCAAAGATGCCATAAATTTGATTAATACCGTCGTATAATTTCGCAAAAAACATATTTTATTCGTAATAAGTAAGTACACAATAAATATGAATAACAGGGTCTTATTTATTTACGGAAGATAAAAGGTGATAAAGGCGATCGGGGATTTGACGGTGTGCCGGGAGTGCCCGGGAAAGATGGACCTAGGGGCCCCCCGGGCCCGGCGGCAGCCCCCGCCGGTAATGTGAAATATGTTCCGGTGCCCGGACCACCAGGACCTCCAGGTCCGCCGGGGGTCCCTGGAAGGCCTTACGCTAACGAAGTTTCACCCGATACACTGACTGATAGTCCAGGGATTAATCGCCGTGAGCCTGGTGCAGGTAAGTAACACAGTTTATATTTACAACCATCTTCATAACATGGAGATTCCCGATTTCACAGTTTTTTTTTATTATTTACAAATTCCAGTTGCTTAATTGGATTATTTGAGATATTATTTTGTGGTACGCGATAACCTTCGTAAAATCTGATAAACTTTCATTTAGTAATATTTAATACGACAATGGCAGGCTTTTTGATTTTTTTTTTGAAATCGATTCAATTTACTCCTATTCTATACTAATTTAGTAATATTTTTATGCCAACTTTGAAGAACTTTGTAGGTACTTCTTTGTGAAATAAATTAGTAAAATAATATTTGTGAATGTTTCTCGATTTATAATAATGTATGACGGTGTTTAACTATATGATATTAGTCAATTGTTTTTATTACAGTTGTCATTTAAATCTAGAATTTCTTATTTATTTACCATTATGGTAATATGAGTGGAGAAGTTTAATCCTTTATACTGGACTAATTGGGTTTATTAACAGTGGAGTAAACGGTGGTTGGTACCTAAAGCTAAAAAGTTAGTATATAAATTTATTTCCACAAAGCTTGTTGTGGGAAAGATTCAACCTCGCGACCTTTTTGGGGTCTAACAAGATACTCGTAGCAAACCACGACTCTCTCATTTCATAATTATTTTTATTTTTGTTATTTTTACTTTTAAGTACGCAAATAGAATTATTTTTATTTGTGTGCAAAATTGCTTTATAAAAAGAAATTGTGGCAACAAAACAAATAGCCTTAATAGAATGTACAATGGTAAAAAACGTGGGAGCCAAGTGTTTTATTTTTCCGCACGGCTTATCGCTTAGATTTTCAAACAAAGTTATTTGTCGGACAGGTAAACAACGAGATGCTTTACACATCTTGAGAAGTTTGAACCACTTGGTACAATACCGTCAAGAGCCTTATGGTAAGTGTAATAGACTACAATTTAATGTTTAAGAAATATCAATAAATGTTGAAAATTATATCCGAAATGCATTTTAGTGTTATTAGATATGGCGACGATTGCTTGGTTTTTCTTTCTATAGAAAGAAAAACCAATTTCTGATGGATAAAGTTATAACTTTATCCATCAGAAATAATAATTTGGGCAAATATTTTGGAGTTTTTAATTTATATGAAAAAGATAACTACTTTGTTCTAGTTTTTATAAATTATATTTCCTAATAATTTGAATTGAAACACAATATTTATATCTTTAAAATAGATTTTCGAGACCCTTTGGATCCTGTGGGCGAAAATTCAGATTTTGATGAAGATGAAGATGGTAGAACTATAGTTGGTACTATTATTTTCAAGACTACAGACTCCTTACTAAGAGTAAGTTGTTACTATTAAAATACATGTCTAATTAAATATACAAATACTCATGCTTTATTTTAGAAATGTTAGACCACCCGGAAATTTAGTTGTTATTAACCGTTAGAATCCCGGTCACTCGGGATTTCACACAGAATCTTTAGGCAAAGCAGTATACCAACTAAAATGTCATAGTATAACAAATTTGTGAAGTTGCTACAATACAATGTAACTTCACATTGTATTGTACCAACTTCACTAATGTAATACAAGGGGTCGCTTTATCTCTTTATGAAATTACTGCCAGTATTTTAAAAAAATGTTAGATTTTTTATAATGTGTGTGCTGCAAAGAGTTGCATATTCTATTATGTTTTGTATATCTGTCTGTACTTTTGTATAATTTAAGAATAGAAGAGCTTTGTTACTTTTTATTGTAACGAACAAAATGTAGAAAAAGCACTATAGTTAAAGTAACCTTCTCGTATGTTCAATTACTTTGTAATTATACAATGTAATTAAATTTAATATAACATACGTTAATATTATAAATGGATATACCCTATTTGTTAAGCACTTACAAAAAAAACTTACAAAAAATTCGACCATTTTGGCAGTAATGGCTTACCTAAACCTATTTAGTTATTAAAAATAACAGTTTACCATTAAACAACGTTTTTTTCCACAGTTAGGAACAAATAGCCCGCTTGGCACTTTGGCGTATGTGATACAGGAGCAGGCACTTCTCGGTCGTGTTAACAACGGCTGGCAGTATGTCGCGGTAAGCTAAATACATTTTAATTGCAGTAATTATAAGGTAATATTTTGAAGTGCCAACTGTAGTTTGAATAGCGAGTTACATGTAATTTATGGTTACGGCAACATTCTATGTTATTAGTTAGTTCACATGTTCACTTTTTGTATTTGATTTTATTAAAAGAAAAATATATTGTATGTGTATTGATTGTTGCGGGTACCATTACTATAATTGTTTAGGAATAGTAAGTACCACTGACAAACATTCCGAATTCATTGTTCTGTTTGATATTCTATTGATTTCCAAATGATATTATATAGACGTATTTCTTAAAAGTACTAGTAGACCCCGCGAAATCCGTTCCGCCTCAGAATTAAATAATATGTCAAAGGTTTTTTGAAGTTTAGTTACGCAATTCATTTCTGACTCTGTTGGATCTATGAAAAAATTGTATAGATAATTAAAATTGTTGTTTTTACTACTTTCCATGCTATTACTTCCCTTTTTTTTTTTCTCACTACTTAAATCTCCCTCGTCCTTTGGTACCCTCGAAATGTTTGTGCAACTCCAGTTCTACACATAATTTAAAACCAAAATTAGCCAAATTAGTCCAGCCGTTCTTGATCTCGATCTCGATTGTAATCATAAAAAAATATATTATCACTTCGGGGTATACAAAATAGATAACAACCTCAGATATAAAGTTTTATCAAAATTGACACGAAATTTTTAGTATGTATTAGTAACATTAAATATATACAAACATTTTGTTTTCTTTAGATGGGTTCGTTATTGGCTATACATACTCCACCTGCGAATACACCAACACGTACACCATTGCAGAACATTCTGGAAACTTCCAGTTTGGTTCATCACAAAAACCCAGCAGTAGACGGCCCTGTGGTAAGTATATTATTAATCAAGTGAATGAATCATGGGAAAACATATTAAAATGAAATTATGCCATGCTATTTATTAAATTACAGAATAAGATGCATGATATTTTAGTCCTCTAGAATGGTAACGTATCATGGCTGTCACTTGATAACTATATTAATCACAGTGCTCTTCATGTATATAGGCGACGATTATCGATTAACTTCATGTGAGCCGTCAGCTTGTTAGCGTAAAAGCGTAAATAAGTATGTTACTGAGATCTCCATTACTATGTATTTTATCTGTGATATAACTAACAAAGTGCACGGTCCTTATATTTTAAATTATATTAAAAAATGAATTTGATTGGCCTTACAAAGAAAATATTCTTCCATGATCCGTACATCTTATATTTAATAATTGGCATTTTTAAGTAGCATGACCTTCTATGTTTCACCCGCCTTAAACATAAATATTAACTAAATATATAAGTAGACATTTTTATTTTCACTTATTTATCGGTCGTAGAAACTAGCATCTATTATTCAGGTTCAGCCTAGTTTAGATACTAGTAGTAAATTCTCTGAAATGTATGCTGTGTAGGTATATAAGAATAAAATAGTTCATGAGAATGAGTGTAAATTTGTAAATTTGAAGTCAATAAAAAATATTGTTATTAGTTTCTTAAATATACAGGGATATCTAGTGTAGGGTTAAAAGTTCATACTAATAACAACCAAACAAACAAACTACCAAACAAGTCAACAATTTTCTCTGCTCTACGTGGTTCATAGAAAACGCTTGCGGCGTTCTTATTATATACCTAACACTGTTTACTGACCGTTTCACTTTTACTTTTTGTGTATAATATGTATTATTTGTGATATATACACAGAAATAGTAAGGTCAGATATAACGGCTGATAGAGGGTGGAACAAGATTACATACTGTGCCAATTCGAAATAATAAGACATAGATGATAAGAGCAAATTATTATTTGGTATTTTTGTCATGTACATAAATTAATTATAATAATATTTCCAATTATAATAGTTTTAATATACAGATTAGTATTATTTACGGTTTCTTTTACAATAACTGCACATTAATTACTTCGAGCGAATTCACACGCTATTTTCATTTCTTTTCTGTAGCCGCAAAGATTTACTTTTGTATTAAGGTTCTATAATTATTTTAAGCTTCGACTGGCAGCTCTCAATGAACCTCACACTGGCGATATGCACGGGGTCAGCAGCACAAACTACGAGTGTCGCAGACAGGCTCAGAGAGCTAACTTAGATGGCACTTTCCGTGCCTTTATATCCTCGAGGTAAGGAATCAATATCTTCTATAACAATATATAAATACGTATATAAACTTCTACTTATAAGCACGTAGTAAATGTATTATCTGTATCTACAAGTATAAGATAATAAAGAAAAACAAGTATTTATTATAAGGAAAGTAAATTCTGGAACCACTGCCTTGTGTGAATTTTATTCACTAATAGCTGTATAGGCGACTTCGTCCGCGTGGAATTTAACTTTATTTTTCTAAAATAAATTATTTTTTCTAAGATAAAAGTAGCCTAAGTTACTCCTTATTACATCAGCTACCTACCAATAAAAGTCCACCATTTCAGAGATTAGACGGAACAAACATATAGACAAACAGACAAAAATAAAAAAATATATATTTTAGTGTATGTATCCTATTTATATTAATATGCATGTAGTAAAAAACGATTATTTCAATATTACAAACAGACACTCCAATTTATTTATATTTATAGATTTGGAGGATGCTATCTAGGTCAAATAAATATAAGTCTATCTTGTTACTGGCTAATCAAAATTATTTGAAATGTATATTTATTTCTGTTACAATATTATACCTTTCAGCGTTTGACAAAATAAGGAAGTCTCTTTTCACATACATTTTGTAAAAAATGTACTTAGCTAATGCTAAGTACATTTTTTAATACACCCACTATATAATATCATAAGTTTCAATTGATATTCAAAAATGTATTTAATATATTCACGCAACTTTATGAAGATATAACACATATTATACTAGTTATATCACTATGTTACTTTTTAGTGTATCTAGGATAATTAACATAATTTGATGTAAAATGCAGTTGATCGATAACATCTACCAAACTCTAATTCTAGAAATTTAATTTAAATAAAGGATATATATTACATTTTCGATGAACTCTTCATTGTTTAGTGCATGTATTGTTATCATAGCGTGATATGAATCACTGGCAAGCATCATATCATGCTATAATAACAATACCTGCATTAAATAATGAACATTGTTATTATACTATAGTTAAAACGGTATTATATGTAGCACATTAAAAAAACATTAGATAACGGGTAATATATTACAATCTTGATTATTATCGTAATAAACTATCACTGTCCACGATATAACCGAAGTAAATGATTGGAAATGAGTCTATGTTAAGAAATGAAATACGAATAAATTTAAATTTATTTTCTATTCTATAATCAGTATATAAAACAAAATACTTTATATAGGTCGCCTTACTGTCTACAATTTTGATCTATGATTACCATTAAAATATTTATCCATGAAACAAATTGTTTTGAAATGTTATATGAGGTAGTCATACATATAGACGATTAATAACATAGTGAAGAATATAACACTATATAGGCGTATTTTAAATAGGACATATAGTTTGGTCCCTTGAAATGATTGGGCTTGTTACCGATGTTTCCATAATCACGAAGTTAGAATTATAAATTGTAACAAAAAGTTCATTTTAGTGGTGTCCAGATTACAACTAAAGACTTTTGGAGTCTCAAATTGAAAAATCAAAATCATTGTAACTTTATTCATGTAGGTCTATTACACACTATTATGATATCTAATCTACCGTTAATTCGGAGTGCTTTCGAGCTAAGAAGAACTGATAAGAAACTCAGCACTCTTTCTATTCAAATGAGGTAGTATATCACTACAAAAATACAGATTCTTTTTTAATTTAAATTAAGGAGAATGTAGTGACGTACATACGCTGTTGCATTTTTGTCGAAAAGAAATAATTTAATCAGTAGACCGAATAGACCAGTTCCACAACACGTTGGTCACTATACTCTCAATGAAGAAGTTACTACACATAGCGTTACTACGTTAATCAGACACTGTTTTTTTTTTCGTAACTTAATGTTCAAATATTATTTTATTCTACTTGTAAATTAATATTTTTTTTATATTTCTATTTCACTAGGGTTCAAACGATAGACTCAATTGTCAGTTGGGTGGACCGAGAAATACCAGTAGTGAACACACGTGGCGATGTTCTCTTCAACTCTTGGGGAGAGATGTTTGATGGATCGGGAGCTTTATTCGCTCATGCTCCAAGAATTTACAGCTTTAGTGGACAAAACGTACTCATGGATTCTGGCTGGTAAGCAATTGTAATAAATAATCTCATCTCATAATAATAATAAATATTACTAATTTGGTATACAATTTCTTTTACGTTTTATGTTTAATTATTCTTTTATATTTTTTATGGAAAATGTATAATACTTTTACCCGAATATTAAATCATACAAGTAATAAAATCGTAATCGTATCGTAATTTATATAAAAATATAATATAAACAAATCCACCTATAATGTGCATGTAAATTAATGTTAATGAATTGAAAAAAAAGCCTTTTAGAATTGTTTTTTTGGATATCTGAACGTTTGTATACTCTGATCTTAGATAAGGATTAACTGATCTAAAGACAACCGTCTTTGTTATACTGAATATATTGTAGTAAGTCTCAACCAAAAAAACAAATTGTTCATTATTTAACCAACGTTATTATAAATCACGTATGCGAAGTTGAGGTAGCAATTTATATTAAATAAAATCATTTTATAGTATCAATGTAAGGATTAACGGATCTTTGTTACTTTACATTAAATAATATATCTGAATCGTGTCTCCCAGACGCGCTGATGTTTAAATTAATGCAATAATCCTCGGCCGAATGTCGAGGGACAGCTGTCAGCCATCATTGAAACAGTTCTATATATAAATTAATATTATCTACTAGGTTTATCCAATGGCTATGTATACGCGAACTACGATGTACTTTATATAATGGACACTCTAGGATATTTATGTAGCCAAAACTTAAACACGTTGATCCAATTTTTATATGATATTGAGTATGAAACATCCCTGTATTTCTTCAAATTCACTTATGCTATATTAGTGAAATTGACATTAATTTAATAAATAATGAGACAATTCATAAAAAGGCATTACTATTTCTTATTAAACTATGTCTCTTTAAGTATATACATACATTGTAATATAGTTAATGCGGAAGTGAGTCCTTTTAATATGTTCGTTTAGTGTTTCCTTTTAATATTAATGAAATTTCACATCAAGATAAACTTATCTATCATAATGACGGAGATGGGCTATCTATTATTAAAAAAAACCAGACGAAGTAACGATACAGCCCGATATCTATCTTTATATATTAACCAGAGTGAAATTGGGACATAGCGTCGGTACTTAGTGAAGTGATAGTATCCTGCCTAAAGTGTATCTAATATTGGGTTATGTTCAATCAATCTATCATATTACAATTAATAGGCGGTGTTTCGTAGTAATAATACAAATAATGTTAAATAATAATGTTATCGGTTGAGACAATGTAGGTATATTACAGATAATAATGGACTGACAAAATGTAAAAATATTGATATTTTACACTAAACAACAAAGGTAAGAATGTAAGGTGGGGTGAAACAGTTTAGACACGGCAGTTCTTAGTAGACAATTTCTAGTTGTCTTTCTATGTAACTATTCCATGTTACATAGAAAGACAACTAGAATTATAATTGCATGTTATATATTGATGTAGCTGTGTCCTATAGGCGGCATTATTTAGTTTATATGTTTACGCTATAACTAGAAGAATATAAAGTCTATATATAGATAGAATACAAGTATAGAATTGAAAGAGGCAAGAGGCAACGTATATCTATAACCTAGCGATTTTCATTGTTTAGGTATAGTATCACACAGTAATATAGTACATAATATATCATACAATACGTATATCTAAGGATAGAGGACTGAAAAACTATAGGGAATGATGAAGCAAAATATATAGTATAACATGGTATATGTCGTCCTCTCGACAGTTTCATAACAAGCACACATGCCGGTCCCAGTGTCTCTTGACTTCATCCTCAGTGTATATTTTATTATACAAAGGAAATTTAATGAGTACAAACAATGAATATGTTCATTAAAAGTTCACTAAATTAATAAAAGCCATTGGAAAATAGTAGTGCATATATATATAAAAGGAATAAAATGATTTGATTTCTTTTCATTAAATTTTCTTATACCTTGTAATACGGAATTGCTTTTTTATATTTAGATTAATTGGAATATAAATAATTAGCTGCTATGTGCGACTTCATCTGCTTTTTTTATCTATCTCTTTTATGTATATACGCAATAATATATAAAAATACATATATTTTAAGTACTATTATTTATTTACATTATAATATATGAATACAAATCCTCAGAAATACGTAAATCAGTTAATAATTAAAATAATTTGTGTACAAAGTATCTTATCTCCGCCATTATCATACAGTCTTTCTATATGCCATTTTTTTATTCAGATCCATACAGCCGTTTAGTCGTATAAAAATATAATAAAAAGTTACAAACAAACAGACAGATACATTTAGCATTTATAATACTAGTATAAATATTGCAATTATATAAAAAAACTTTTAGGTTAATACGTTTTTTCTCTCCTTGGTATCTAAATTGAAATTCAATTTACCAATATAATATTGGCGTACCGCTTTCTCAGGAGTAGATCATTAATAAAATATTAGATACAGAACCTATATAATAGGGTTAGGTCTCAAGGAGGTTTCGTCTTTATTGTTTTCTTCATAAGATATCCATTAGACGCATTTTCATAAATATTTAAATAGTACTTTGTCTGTGTCAGAACCGTCAGATATATTACATTAAAATGTGATATTTTACGTTTCATACAGAAAAATGTTATTAAAAACGTAATACTTATAAAGAGATCGTAAACATGCAGTGGAAATTAAAATCATGCAGCACTACGTCTACCATCGTAGATCGTGTCACAGACATGAAAAAACGATATTATACTTTTTTCTGTTTGTCTATGCATTTAAGCACGCTAACCTCAGAAAGGCGTTTCTGAGGTTACCGTGCACAAACGGATAGACAAACAGAATAAAAATAATCAGTATGAATGTGTAATAACAACTTCTAGTCACAGACTTTTAGTGTTTATTTAATTCAAGTCAATACTTAAAGTTCAAGAAATTATATTATCAGAATAATAATATTATAGCCAATAACAATATTAATTATTCCGAATAATATTTGTACAATATCATGGGTACATCTAGTATAGATGATAAAATTATATTAACTCTTTTGTTTAGTTCAACGTTCTCGTTATAAAGACGAGTACTTATTAAATTACAAAGGAATCGTCTGAGACATTAATAAACCATAATAATTTAACATTAGAAAACAGAAACAACATAGTAATTTCTACATACTCGTATTTACATAGGTTTCTGGTTTAAATTAAAGAAAGAGAAAACAATAAAATACCTTTTATTCTAAATGTACCTTTTAGTATAATTATTTGTGTAGTATAATTAATTTGGTTCATGTTCATTCGTTTGTTAGCGTTGAATTAAAAAATGATACATTTTATTCTTTTTGTTATCATTATTCACAGGGTTGATAGTAATTTCGTGTACGAAACTAGTAAACCAATGTGTCAGAAATGATTAAAACTTCTTTATAGAGTTATGAAATATATATTTTTCAAGTTTTTTGAAAATGCTTGAGTAATAAAGTCGTTTTAATATAAAACTTAAACGTTACTGTGACATTACTAAAAAATAATATATTTTTTTAACTTGACACACAAATATTTCATTTGCCAGATTCGAACTCACAACCTTATTCTGTGGAAGTAAACTTTTACAATTACAATTTAGTTGTTGTTACTAAAGTCTGATAATATCTTAGTACTAATTCTTAGCGCTATTTCGTTTAGAAGAAGCTGATTACTTTATTTAATATTATCACAATCCTTTTTCTTTTACAAACTGAATATGAAACGATTTCCAATTCTCCTAGGCCTACTAAAGCCGTTTGGCATGGAACTAGTCCAAACGGCGAGCCAGCGATGGACGCATATTGTGACGCATGGCACAGTAGTGCACCGGACAAGTTCGGTTTAGCATCGTCACTACGCTCAAACAAATTATTAGATCAAGAAACGTAAGTACTCTTAACTAATTTCGTAAATGTAATTTTGAATTCTATTATATATACTGTGAATACTTTAAGTAATACGCCCCATTTATAAAGCGATTTCGTTAATTATTTATTTATTGCATAAATAAGATTCACCCTGTAATGAAAGGCGTAAAGTTGTCATTATTATAATCAGTTGCGGAACAACATCATATAATCAATGTTAATAAACATAATACCTCTTTAAATACAAATGTATAATTTTTTATACTTTCTGCGCACATGTATATAATAAAACATTACATTTTTAGGTATTCATGCAGCAGTAGACTGATAGTACTATGCATCGAAGCTACACCAGTAGATACAGTTAGAAGAAAAAAACGATCAAAGTAAGTATTATTATTACCTGTATCTATGATTATTACTTTAACAGTTTAGTATATTTAGTTCTAAATATACTAAAATTTAGATTAAAAAAACAATAATAAACAACATTGGCTGCTGTAACTTCATTCATTGGAGAGAGCCATGTTGCTATATATTCGATATTTTTTCATTGTATCAAATGAGATGTTTTTGGTAAAAAGTAATACATAAATATATATTTAATTGTTAATGTAATTAACAGTTTTATGACTACTGGTATATTTATTAGTACTGGTATATTTTTAGCGAAGATTTTAATCTTCGCTAAAAATATACCAGTACTCACAGATACTAAGGTGCTGTTCAATATATTGGAGCAGTTGTAACATATTCTACAGACTTGGCTTTGTCACTACTTGTCTATTTTATGGATAAGAGGTGGCTCACAGACTAAAGCTGAATATAGACGTTATTGTTCTATTATTCAGCGAATACAGGACGTGAGAGAACATAATAATAAAATGTGTATGAATCGTGTCAAGGAGAGTTTTAACCGATTCTTATGATTATTATTGCAATATAGTTCTAATAATTGGTTCTTTATGTTAGATATAGTTCAATATCAAATGATTGAATGAAAGTACAATTCACGCGAGCTCGAATAATTCGATTTTTTATCTTTTTTATTTTAAAATAGCTAGTATAATATTTTTTTCATTTTTCTTTTTAGAAACCATTATTTAGTAAGATGAATAATTAGAATAATTATGTATCATATAATTAATTACTGTACGACAATATTACCATTAATAGTAGGTAATAGTTTAATATTTTAATATTTGTTTTTTTTTTTAATACAGTTTTCATGTCATTATAAAATCATTTTGCAAATGCTCTTGTTTTATGAGAGAAAACAATTTAACCGATGTAGTGACCCAAATAAATGTTCAGGGGCGAAACTAATCTAAACTGCAATTAGTGAGAGCTGTTGAAAAACGGACGGGACCGGACAAACTACCTATACTGTCGTTGTAATATACTTTTAAATTAAATACTTTTTAAATAAATTTTAATTATTATTTACATTTGAGTGTATTTATTTGCATAGCATTAATAAATGTAAACCTTTAATAATTGTATCAAGTGAAACTGAAGTGACTACAGTTTATGTATTTCAAAGTTTCAATAATTAATTATATTTTATGTAAATATATATATGGAGATATAAGATGTTATATTTTTAATTACAGTATTTTAATACCTATCAACAATTTGCGCAATTATACATAAAACTAGTAAATAATATTTTTATACGTTATTTTATGTTCATATTCATAATAGTGTTGTCTTTAACAGGTTTCGCCAAGAGAGGCTACATTACTTAAAAGATATTGAGGAACGACAAAACGAGACGAGATTAAAGTTATAGACATTGAATGCCTAGTATTTTTAAATAAGAAAAAAATGTGAAGACTGTAAATAATATAGATATTACTGATGTTTCTTGAAGCAATGATTCCAGTGGAACATATTGACAATATATTTCATAACGATTAATAGCATCTACGATTTCAGAAGGGTTAAGGGGCTTTCCATGAATTACGTCACATGTTGAACAAAACAATAAACTACAAAGGGGGGTCGACCAAGTGTTATATTGTATGTATCAAGGATGTTAAGGAGCTCCGTAACCGTAACCGAAACTATCGGATATCCGATATAAAAAATATTCGTAACCGTAACCGAATCCGAAATAAAAGTTTCGGATAATGTCAGATAGGGGGGCAAGGGAGTCTCATTGAGACCGTTATGTAACTATTTTATTAGCTATTTGTATTTTACTTTTGAAATTCCTTAAAAAATTAATATCCGAAGTTATCCGAAACTAACGGATATCCCATAGTCTTCCTTCACGAAGGTGGACATCGTTGTTGATGGGGACCCTGGTCACAAACGTGTTGTGACTCGATTCCAGCTGCGTCACACTCCTTATTTGTAACAAGAGGGGGGAGGTAAAAATTACTGATATTAGTATGACGTAATTTATGGACGAGCCCTAATAACATGCGGTGACCATACTATTAATTTATTTTGAGCATAACGCTGTTAGAACTTCAACAAACGAATGTGTAAATAAGGTGACGTTTATAATACGTAGAACTTAATTACGGTATATGTCTGACCCAACATTTTATTAATACACTATTTGCCAATATGACGGCGAATCCAAAGCTAGCAAATCTAACAAAATAAATAAAAAAACGTGTTATTTAGCTAACATCGCTGTCGGTTGCAATTAACGCCTTGGTAACAGGTTATTGGGCAAACGTATTTGAGTTGAGGCCTAACATTATTGTATAAGAGACGGTTTCTAAAATAATATTCTAGCTGTGGATGCGTCTTTATGTATATATATATTGAGGTTGACTGGGTTAAATGTAAATATTAGATAAATTGTTCGCAGTGGAAGTTTATGAGTGATTCCAGTAAGACTGGTAATAATAACTCCTTTACCAGACGAGTCGAAAATTCTAGAATGTTTTATATAATTTAATTTTGTTTAAATACTAATTACCGTTACTAGTCTTATAGGAAACATCTCTAAAATATGGTGTCAGGAATATCTCTGTGGTGATGATGTCAATTATATTCTTTTAAAAGAATATATAATTAATAATTATTAATTATTTATTATCGCAGATTTAGATTATTTAGCACTTTCTAATGTTTCACTTCTATTATGATTGATAGTTTGTAATTCGGAGTATATATAAAAGGTGTTGTAGAAATTTACTATACTTATATTTGAATTTTATTAAGGTGTTGCAAAAATTTCTTTTTTGCACACTAGGATCCTGGATCACGTACCCAAATACTGTTACGGCAAGTGATTTGAGAAAGCTAGTACAGTTTGGTATAAAAGGAGCTGAACACATTTTACTAATTACTGCGTTCATTATAACGGGTTCGTGAGTGTTCGTAAAGTTTTATTGCGGACCGTACTTCGACTGAATAAAATCCAATGTTCGTGAAAATATTTAAAAAAATATAAGTACTCTATTTATACCTAGTCTTTATTGATTTTAACTATTCACAATTCGACGTGATTGGTTAAAAATATTAATAGAATCAGAATATTTGTTGTATATATATCAGTGTCGGTGATATTTAGATTCCTATATCTCTATCTTCTATACGCGACACAATGTCAATTTATATAAAACTAGCTGTCCCGGCAAACTTTGGATTACCATATAAATTAATATCTCTCTTAAAAAGTAGGGGTTGATGCTACAAGGGTGAAAATTTAGGATTGTATGGATTTTTAATGCCACATTATATAAAAATAAAAAGATATGTCAAAAAAATGTTAGGGATGGACAACCTTTATCACTTATATGAAAAATAGATATCAGCCGATTCTCAGACCTGAATATACATTTAAAATTTCATAAAAATCAGCCAAGCCGTTTCGGAGGTGTATGGTAACTAACATTGTGATACGAGAATTTAATATATAAGATATTCATAAATCGTGTTGAGGCCTATTTACCTACTATCATTCTCAAGTGAAGTACGGCCCATAATTGTGCTGATAATGTACTTTTTTAGATGAAAGTGTTTATTATAACGGTAAAGATATTTTGAATTTATAAGTCACAAAAAATATGACATTTATTTTTACATTAGTTCTTATCAAATATCTCTGTTTCTATAGAGTTCTTGGATTACTTTACCCAACTGCTGTCCAAATTTCGTATTTTTGGCTTCAATTGACACCCACTTAACTTAAAAATAAATAAAATGCGGCGATTTTTCTTAGTTAGAGATATGAAGATTAAAACGGTTTCTCTTCATATTTCTTAGTTAAATTTAGAATCTTTTCTATATCTAGAAATTAGAGTCGTTTTAATGCATACAAGCTACAAGCTTTGCTTGGTTTGGAACTAGTTGATGCTGTATGGGACATATGGAGAAATTTATATATTTTGTTCGTAAAAGTACATATATACACAATATCTATTATATATATGGCATTTACATACACAAATACATACGCACACACATATACATAGGATGTTAAAATATTAAAAAACATACTGTAATGTCAATATGTCTTGTGTATTAAATAGAAAACTGTATTTAAATAAATATATTAAACATATTCTTTTTATAGTAAATTCACTATATTGGGTAATAAAATCATATAATTAAAACTGGCGCTTCATCTGCATTGCAGTATTGAATAGCTCCGATAAGTTTGGGCTCTGCTAAATCTTTTTTGGATGACGTGTCCTATTGTTTCTGATTAATATAATGAAGTGTGACAATAATATCAGTATTTGACAGTCTATTAACAAAAATTAATATATTTATTCGGAATTAAAACTAATATCTTGATCGCATGATCATTAAGTCAGGGTGGTCTTGACGAATGCCTCAAGAATTAAGCACGATGATTTAGAAGGAATAGAAAGATTTCACGGTTTATTAAAACTTTCTTAAATTACAATAATTTCAATGTAATTTAAAAGTTATAGGTATACAAACCCTCATATAATTAAGCTGATTGATGACATAAAAATAGTAATACAAACAATTGCTGTACTTTATATTTATCTTTGTATCAACGTAAGCTCGAGTTTCTCATTTAAGAACCAGTAAATTTTATAAATATTTTATTTTAAATTAATATGATGTTAACATAGTTAACCATAGTTTTATCATTAAAGTAATAGTTACTTTAATGATAAAATATAATGCAAGTCCTAAACATCATTAAATATATTATTTCATTTATATCTATAGAAGTTTGTAAAACCTATCTATGTACATATGTATATTAACAAATAATTATTTTATTCGACTAAATACATAATTTATTTATGATGTAAAATAATATGTTACATAGTTTATAATATATTATATGTCTTATTAATATATTACACATAGATAAACGTGTATCAAAGTAATATTGTTGTGTGTTTATAAATGGAAGTAAAAATTATTTGCCTTACTAAGTTTCATCAAACATTCATATGTTATTCTTTAATACAAACAAAAATACCTGTTCTTATTTTACGAATGTATTAATAAGCATACAGGGTTTGCCATATTTGAAATAAATCATTGTATGTGACTATTTATCTATCTATATGTAATAATAATATAAATGATATAGCTATATAGCCTGCCCGTCTGTTTCTTACATTTGTAACGAGTAAACAACTAAATGGGTCTTAATAAAATTTAAAGTGAAAATAGATCGTATCAGTTTGACTTAAGCCTTTAAATTAAAGGATTATTCAGTTATATATAGGATATTTCATTTGAATTGATAATTCTATTGAATAAAACCACGGGTAATAACTAGTCAGTAATAAATTTAGTTTAAAGTTTAGTAAATTATAACTGCAATCGTCACGCTAGCGTTGCGCCGCCGTCACGCTTCGCGGCAATGTGGACAAGCCTTAATGGCCCGTCTCATGGTAAGCATCTACTTCAACTCATGAACATTTATTAACAACACAACTTACTTTCATAGTGTAAAACATTTTTAAAATGCCTAATTTTGAAATTTGTTCTAAGATTTCCTTTAATGTTTTTAAAGCGCAGGCCACTCATTCTACAAATAAAGCTAAAGTTAACTTCCTGTTACCCCTGCTATTTGGTATAAAATATAGCCGATGACCGTACTTCTGATATAAATTTATATTTACGATAAACAGACTGTTTAAAATGAATATAGATGTAGTATATATATGATGGTCTAATTTATAAATTTTAACGACTAGTTTTCTTAATGTCTGTATTTTATATAATATAATAATAATTTTATATGATGTGAAAACTAAGGTCGCTGGTGATAAAAAAACATATATTTCAAGTAAAAGAATATTATAATAGTCTAAACAGATGCATCTTACTCAATAAGTTAACAGTCTAAGATTGAAAATATTGAGATAGAGTTAGAGCGATAGAGTTACAGCGAATTTTGTTACGAGAAAATTAAACTACTAAACTTCTCCACCAATTTGATAATTGAACCCAAAACAATTAGTAATATATTTATTTCCACGCGTCTGTTCACAATAATCTCAGAAATTCCTTAACCGTCGTGAGTGCTGTTTTCACTAATTCAATTGCTAACTTAAATTAAACTTACCTAAAAATTTTTACATTAAATTTGAATTACTTTTTCGTCGTCGTCGAAGTCGCGGGCTGAGTCTATAGAACACCTTTTCGGTACCCGAATAAACCTAATTAAGTTTTACATAATTATTACACCGTTACCAGCAGAATACAAAGATTATCCTAACATGATAATGAGTGCCTAATTAAGTAAAATATTACACGCGTGTAAAATTTTCCTTTTATTATTACGTAATTTACATTTTATGCAAGCTATTCATAAAATTGCTTAGTCATATGCGGTGTTTGTTTATAAAGCAACCAATTCAATAACGGTTTACTATAATAAAACGATTTTAGGAAAAGCGATATTCAATTTCAATCGCTTTAAGAACTCACATCTTATCAATAATAGATAATGCGCACGGCCTACTCTCTGTAGGCTGTAGCGGAAAATCAGTGTTTAATCCTTGGGTTCCTTGCACAACTACAGTACGATGAACCAATAATGTACACTCATTGAGTGTTATCAGATAGTACTGTAGCGTACAGTTGATTTA